AATGATAATAAAAAAAAACAATGAAGACAATAATACGAAAATGAGAAAAAATAATAATGATATGGTTATAACAAAAAAAAAAACAAAAACAAAAACAAAAAAAAACAATGATAGGGTTATAACAAAAAAATAACAATGATAGGGTTATAACAAAAACAAAACAAAAAAATAAGAATGATATAACAATGGCAAAAAAATGACAATGACAAGATTATAAAAAATGGAAGACGATAATATGGCAATGATAATGAGGATCAAAATTCGATGTAACCGCCGGCATTCTCCACGCATCTTTGCCACCTTTTTGGCACATCTTGCACGGCTTTTCGCAAAAAATCGGTAGGAACAGAATCCATTACGGCCTTGATTCTGTCCTTGAGCTCTTCACCAGTTCGGGGGTTGGTCTTGTAGACTTCTTCTTTGGCCCATCCCCACAAGAAGAAGTCACAAGGTGTCAAATCGGGACTTCTGGCCGGCCACTCCATCGGTCCACGACGACCCAACCACCTACCGGGAAACGTGTCATCCAGCCAGTTTCGTACGGATCTGGCGTAATGCGGGGGAGCACCGTCTTGCATGAAGATTAAATCATCCGCCGATGGCCATTGCGAGATGATTGGCATGACATAATCTTCAAGCATGCACAGGTAACGGCTGCTGTTCATCGTATCTTCCAATAAATATGGTCCTACTAGCGATGTCGATGTCATGCCGCACCAGACAGTCACTTTCGGACGTGATTGCAGCCGCTCCACTGTAGCTCCGGGGCTACATGGTCCCCAATAATGGCTATTATGCCTATTTACGAATCCACCAACATGAAAGATGGCTTCATCCGACCATATTATTCGATCGAGTAGCCCCGGAGCTTCCCCCAGCCTTTGTAACATGTGTTCCGAATAGGCCATCCTCCGGTCACAGTCTTCGTGCTTCAATTCTTGCACGTAATGAGGCTTCCAGGGCCGGTACTGGAGCTCTTTCCTTAGCACCTAATGAATGATTATTTATTAAATTTCAAATCAACACCCTGCCATAAAAGGCATACCTTATGAATGGTGTAAGTGGATAAACCGCTCTCCAACGAAGCTTTTCGGACCGATTTTTGGGGATCCGCATCAAATATCCGACGCACCTTCGCGATATTTCTCCCCGAACAAGATGTTGATTGCCGCCCAGCACGCGGAGCATCCAATACAGCACCAGTATTCATCAACTTGGCGTGGCAATTTTTTATTGTATTTGCACTTAAAGTTTGATGGATATCGTACGTTTGTCTAAACCATCTTTGGACTAATATAACCGATTTGTACACCTCATATCTTGATGCTATTTCGGCCCGTTGTTTAATTGTCAGATGGGACATAATTGTTGATAATTTGCAAAAAAATTGATGGAAATCAACAATAATCACAAAGAAAGGAAATCAAAGATCCAAAACAAAACATTCGAATCCTTTAACATTCGAATCTTTTAACATTCGAATTCGAATAGAGACTGCTCAGTGACCTTAAAATTGTCTCATTCTACCTGATTCTGTTAGAATAGGAGCCAAGACCCGAAGGCAAATTCAAATTCTTAAGCGCAACAAATGGTTATTGAAAAATCCAAATTAACTAACTCAAAATGATAATGTTGGATTAATTTGGATTTTCCAAATTATGATTACGGTCAGGTTAGGTTAGCAATTTCGATAGATGGATCATTATCATTTTATTATTTTTTATTATCATTATCATAATTCCAATTTTCATGATAAAATGATTGGAAATCGATCAATTTTAAAATCTCAGAATCAAAGAATTTTTTAAATTGCTAGCTTAAGAATTCTGGCAGATGACCAGACTGTTATTTCAAATAATGATTTTAAAATTTGGAAATGCCAAGTGATGATTCCGGCCAAGTTAGGTTTGAAATTTGGAAATGCCAAGTGATGATTCAGAAACGATTACGATAAGGGACATTAAGGCAAAATTGTGACATTCAACACAATTTTCACTTAGCTCAACAACATAGCACACATTCGAACACTGTGCGAAAGTAGCACCATAGGAAAGTATGGCTATTGCCTTCATAGAGCAAATCCCATTGCGTTGATGAAAATTTTGGACATTGATCCGGAAAAAAATTTTTTTTAACAAAAGTATCATTGATGTAAAATTTTACTTATAGCATAAAAAATCCTCAAGAAATTCTTTATATTTTTCAACCAAGATCACATTTTATATCTTCATACTTTTTGAATGAGATCAAAAAAAAAATCATCACTTACTTATCAAACGCCCTGTAGACAAATGTGTGGTCTTTTATTAGAATGCCTTTGTTGATGAATTCTAAAACTATCACGATGTTTAAATGTGGCATCGCAAATTGAGCACTTGAATGGTCGCTGATCTGAGTGCAGAATAGAATGTTTTTTCAATTCAGCACTAGTTTTAAATTCTGCATTGCATTCTTGGCAATTGAATGGTTTTTTTTCAGAATGCCTTTGTTGATGACTTCTCAAAATTTTACGACTTTTAAATTTTTTATCGCAATGGTCACAGTGAAACGGAAGTTTATTTGAGTGGCAGAAAGAATGATCTTTTAAATCGCCCTTAGTTTTAAATCCTGCATTGCATTGTTGACAAATGTGTGGTCTTTGATCTGAATGTCTTTGTTGATGATTTTTTAAATGATCACTACGTCCAAATGCCGCATTGCAAACTGAGCATTTATATGGACGCTGATTATTATGTATGTTAGAATGACGTTTTAAACTATAACGAAATTTAAATCTTGCATCGCATTGGTCGCAATGATACGGACGCTTATTTGAATGAGAAGAAGAATGACGTTTTAAAAACCAAAGTTTTGTGAATGTTGCAGGGCATTCTGGACATTTAAATAGTTGATTTCCGTTAGTTATTTTATCATCATTACCAGCACTGTCTAATTTGGCCATGACGGTATCCAATTTTATCAATGAAATTTAAAAAAAAAATGTAAACATTAAAAAAAGGGTATGTATAAATCATTTTGTTTTTACCTTCATCAACTATTGATTCGACAATAGTAGTCGTTAGTTTTTTTTTCGTTTTATCTTCATCATCATTATCATTCGTCAATGTAAATATAGTTTCTGCTGATTGATGGTCATCAACAATTGTTTCTTCTACTATTTCCACTTCGGATGATTCAATAATCGATGATGATGATGATGGTAATGTTTCGTCGTTTGGAAAATTTTCGATAGTTTTTGGATCATTATTTTCGATATTAGGATCATTTGTTGTTGTTTTCGAATTGATCGTTGTTTCGAATAAATCATCCGATTTTTCATTTTCAATATTCTGATCATATTCATTGAAAAAATCTGTATATGGAAGAAAAAAGAATTGGATTTTTTGTTGTTGATTAAATTGATAAAAAAAAACAACAAAATAAATGTTTGTTTTTACCTTCATCCAATTTGGATTCGACAATAGTTGTCGTTAATGATTTTTCTTCCGTTTTATCTTTATCATCATTCGTGAATGTAGTTTCAGTTTTAGATTGGTCATCAATCGTTTCATTTACATCAACAATTGTTTCTTCTACTATTTCCACATCCGATGATTCATTAATTAATGGTGATTCGATTGTATTATCCAATTCATTTTCGGATTCAATAAACCATGATGATAAACTATTGTTAAAGCGTTCATCATAGCGATCACCATCACTATCACCACGAAGAAAATGAAATTGGGATGATGTTAATGAATCATCATTACAATCTTGCAAAATTGATTGAATATCATTATCAAAATTATCAATAGTTGTTTGTTCTATTTTATGATAATCTGTCAAATGAACGGTTGCATCATCAACAGTTTTTACGATTGTTTTGCAAAAATCTTTATGGAAAAGAAAGAATGAAAAAAAAATTTAGCAGGTTGAAATAATCAATTTTTTGGTACAAAATATATATACATACTGCACTTGAAAACATTTTGAAAATATTTTTTGATTTGTTCATTATTATTATCATCATTCGAACGTTGTCGTTTGTTATTTTGTTTATGATAATCATGTTGTTGTAATTGATGAAATTGTACACTATCACTATGCGATGGAATGTTCTGATTGATCCAAGGACTAATGTTTGCATGTGAATATTGTTGTTCAGGATAAGGTGGTCCTCCAAATGGATATGCTGGTCGATGTGTCCAAACATCTTGATTATATTGATGATGCGATGGATTACCAGATGACCATTGATTATAATAATGTGTCGTGGATAGTTGTTGTGGTTGTTGATACAACGGGTTGAAATAATTTGGCCATGATTGTTGCGGTTGTGGTTGTGGTGGTGGTTGCGGTACATAATTACCGTATTGCGATAATGAATCATAAGACATTTTTTTTTTAAATTGCAGAATCGATTGATTGTTTGGAAAAGAATCAAATTTTTGATTTCAAATATTGAAAAAACACAAAAAAAAATCGAAAACAACAAAAAAAATGATCGAAAAAAAATGAAAAGAAAATTCGAAGACAAACACACTGGACTCTAATAAAGTAAACCGAAAAAAAAAAATAAAAAATAATGACAGTCGAAACTCTCGAGAGTAAGAGAAAGAATGAAAGCAAAAGAAAGAAACGTATACGTTTACGAATGACGATGATTTTTTTTTTTTTTTTTTGAATTTTGAATTTAGACACTGGCTATTGTTACTTGTTGTTTGGTATTGAATTGCTGTACTCTGTGATTGGTTGAGTACATGGTTCAACAGTGTATACACCCCCTTCTCAAGTGATAACGATCGGGTCTTTTTTGTTTTAACTTTTTTTTTTTTTTGTTTGGTCCTTTTTCTTTGTCAAATGAACAATATGGATAAACAACAAAACAACAAAAACCTTTTTTTTTTTTTGCTAAATAGATAATTGTATAAAGCAATTTTGTTCAATACGAGAACCTAATCGTTATTTTTATTTTTTTTTTTTTTTGAAATAAGTTTTTGTTTATTGAAACTGTACATCATCCAAATGGATTGTTTGCATTTATTAATATGAATAAAGAATAATAATGCAAATGAAGAAATTTTCATGGACGAAATCGTTAATTTTTTTGTATCTTGTGTGTACTGTAATTTAATCTAAAGCCTTTGTATGTCACATATTTATATGTTCCTTGTTTTAAATTGAAATTGATCAATGTATGTATGTGACGTTTTGTTTACATTTTATTTTTTTTCTTGATTGAATTTTCAAACTTTCCCTACGATGACCAGTTACATTCCTTTGAAAATGTTTTTTGGTTTGTTTATTAAATGACATGGTAAACAACGATAATTGTAGCAAAAAAAAAAAAAATCTGAATTCAGAATTGCGCCAAAATTATCAGCAGAAACAAATCACACAAAGCGGGCTAAAACTGTTAACACAAACAATGTAGGAACCTCAAAAATTTTAATGGCAATAAACATTAATTAAAACATAAACATTAGTCGATGATCAATAAATCAAAGGACAAAGATTAAACAAAACACACATTGGACATTGGAAAATGATTTATGAAAGAAAAACCTAAATTTTTTTATTGAAACTGTTCGTCATCCAAATGGATGTTTGCACTTAATAAAATGGATAAAGAATTATACAAATGAAGTAATTTTCAAAGAAAAAAAAATAATTTAAAAATGAAAAATGTAAAAATATCAAATTGATTTATTATGTATATTTTTATTACAAACAGAACATTTAAATTATTTATTAATTTTAAAAGTAACACTCTACCAAAAAGATGTCATCAATCAATCAATAATTTACCATCATCAATTTTGGATTCGACAAGTATCGATTTTTCTTCTTCTTTTGTTTTATTTTCATAATCAATAGTTGTTTGCTCTATTTTATGAATATTTGTCAAGTGAGCGGTTGCATCTTTCAACAGTTCCTACAATTGTTTTGCAAAAATCTATATGAAAAGAATGAAAATAAAAATTTAGCAGGTTGAATAAAATTATAATAACAATTTGTGTATACATACTGCACATTAAAACATTTCAAAAATATTTTTTTTTTTTTTTGAAAATATCAGAAGGTCGCGTGTTCCGGGTTATTTGGTTGAAATGATAAAAATCATCGTTCATTTCATATGAAGATGATGCTGGATCAGTAATTTGATTTATAATCAAAGCTTTTAGATTATTAGTTAATTTCTAATTACATTACAATATTTAATAATATTAGCTTATATATTTTTTTTTCGTTTTATCTTCAGCAATTCGTAAATCATGATTATATAACAAAAGTGCACACTCTTGTAATATCTATATCTGGTACAATAACCTTGCAAAAAATCTATATGCAAAGAATGAAAATAAAAAAAAAAATTTATCAGGTTGAATAAAAATTAATAACAATTTGTATTATATACATACTGCACATTTTGAAAATATTTTTTTTGATATGTTTATTATTATCAATCAAACGTCGTCGTTTATTATTTTGTTGATGAAAACGATTTGGCAATGATCGTTGCGGTGGTAATGAATAATTACCATATTGCGATAAAGAATGAGACATTTTTTTTATTATTGCAGAATTTTTGTTCGAAAAAGAATTTACTTTTCGATTTCAAATATTAAACACAAAATCAACAAAAAAAAAGGATAAAAAGGAAAAAAGAAAAGAATATTTGAAGATAAATCAAGCACACACACTTAACACAACATTATTTTTAAATAGATAATTAGAAATGAAAAAAATCAATCGTTTTTATATGAAAAATAAGCATCGAATTATTAAAGTTTAAACATAAATGTTTTCGAAATATATACTAATCGGTTAAATTTAATAGTTCAATAAATAAACAAATGACATTGATTTACACAATAAATAAACAAATGATTTGTATTGATTGAAATGAATCATTTGTATATTGATTCATTCAGTTTGAAAATTGTAGCAAAAAAAAAAAATAAAAATAAAAAAATCTGAATTCAGAATTGCGCCAAAATTGTCAGCAGAAACAAATCATACAAAGCTGTTAACACAAACAACAATGTAGGAACCTCAAAAATTTACATAAACATTAATTAAACATAAACATTAGTCGATGATCAATAAAATCAAAGGACAAAAGATTAAACAAAACAAAACACGTTGGACAAACATTGTACTTGACAGTTGAATCTCGAAAATGATTTATGAAAGAAAAACCTAAATTTTTTATCAGACAATCTTACATTGGGCATTTCATTTGCTTTATTGGCTATCATCATCATTTGTTCAATGAATGTTAACATAGAATTCCATCTATATTCTCCAATTGAAAAATCAATAAAACGTTGACCATTGATAAATTCTTGTAACATATCCATTGCTGCGATCCAATCATTAACTGTTCGATCTATTTGTGATTTGACATATTTAAAATAAGTAAAGGTATACCTCTCAAACATCAAACAATGTAACTTACAATCAGCTTTTTTTTGCTTTATTTTCGAAACAATGTTATTGAATTTACGATGAATGGCTTTTCGGTCCATATAACGTACGTTTTCCTTCAATTTGAGGAATGCTGCAATGTAAATGTAAATGTTGTTGGTTTTATGTATGACCATTTTGTTTATTAAATTTCAATTAGAAAATATCGAATTCAAACTTTTTTTCAAAAATTGGACTTTTTTAGAAATTTGGACATTGAAAACATGTTTGACCAATGATGGATGGCCAGATATACAAGTTTCATATCAAATATGATTTTTATCAACATTAATTACATCTTTATAATCATCATCACCATCATCGATTGGATTCGAATTAGATCCAGAACTTGATTGTAAAATTGTTTCCCTTTCATAATAAACAATCATAAATTGTTTTTTTTTAAATTATAAAAAAAAATAAAAAAATTTTACAATTTACACATACGGATGACATTCGGTAATATGATAATATAAATCGGTAAAACCGCTGAAAATCTTATCATGTTGATTACATTTGACCTCATTAATCGTTCGATTTCTAAGCCTTTTAAGTGCATTAACTAATTCATGTTTATCATTGAATTTTCGTTTTATCGGTCTCTGTTTTTATAAAAAAATTACAAAAAAAAAAAAAAAATTAAAATTACAAAAAAATTATACAAAAAACATACGGCTTTTAAATTTTTATCAAAAGTCTTTGCTATTTGATAATTGGTTTGAATTTGATTGAAAAATTTGTCCGAAATATCGATCGTATCGATGATGGTTAATCTATGAATAAAATTCATAGTAATCTTCCAATGGTCCATATTAATGTTAAATGTAACATTTTGATCGTTATCAACAGATTTTTTCATTCGTTCAATTAATCGATTAAATGATTTTGATATGATTTTGGTAATCATTGGATTTTCACCATTTATGTAATCGATTATTTTTTTTAATGTTTCATTAATATATCTTTTATCTTTTTTTTCCATTTTTTTTATAAAAAAAAAAATTCACAAATCAAATCAAAACAAAACAAAAAATTCAATTTTACAAAACGAAAAAAAATTTCTAAAGTCGATGAAAAACTTGAGGAAAAAATTCAAAGTTCGAAAAATTTTATTTTTTTCAAAATTTCAAAATTAGTTGATCGAATTTTTCTGAGTGACTCATTGAAAAACTGACTATACAGTAGTCAAAAATGGCGCCAATCATATTTACAAGCAACATTCTTCATCTGAATTTAATTTTGTCTTTGATCTTTGATCTGGAGATCAATCTTTGATGTGATGAAAATTTTTTTTTTCAAAAAAAAAAAAAAAATTCTCCCCAAAACACTATATACAGATATATATAGTGTTGTTTTGTTGACACGCCTTTGAAGGTGTTTTTTATTTAGAGGTTTTTTTTTCTTTTCTTTATTCCGTCCCCCAATTTGTTACATTGATTTTTTCATTGAGAGAGAGAAGAGAGAGAAATATCTTGTTGTCCCGTTGACAATCTTGAAATATTGACACAACCAACGACTGATATACTGTAACAACCACGAATCAATCAATAAGCAACGAAAGTCGATAATATAATCTACATAGTCGAAAATCTGTTCCGAAAAAAAAGTATATTTCAAATCTAAGCCGACCGACAAAAATATAGAATCATATCATCAGAAATTTCGACAGTGTGGATTCTCTCGATCAAAATGCAAACCGAAAAAAAAGAATGAATATTAAATTCAAAGAAAAAGCTCTCAACTGCCCTGATGTTTGAAGATCTTTGATCCAGAATTGTAAAAAAAATTATTTCAATCTTTGTTTAAATCAAATAAAATATAATGTTTGAAATTATGAAAAGTTTTACCATATTTTGAAAAAACAAATCCAATTTCTTTAAAAAAAAAATGTACTAGTTGTTTTGAACGGGATATAATGCTTGTTTTTTTCTGTCTTTGTTTTTTTGTTAATGCGTTGTTGAAGTTATAACTTGCGGTGTTTGCTCCATTGCCTATTTTTTTTTTTGTAGCTAACTATTTTCTTTGCTACTACTTTGGAATTCTTTCACGACCGACAGACAGACATACGGATGGACAGACATCATCATACTCATTTTCGGCATTTTTTTTTTTGCCTCCAATTTTTGTTGTTGTTGTTGTTGTTTGAAGAATTTTGGTAAAATTCTGACGAAAAAAAGTTAAAAAATTTCAAATATTTTTGTTTCATTCGTGGGAGTTTTGATTCAAATCGATGGAAATTGAAACATATTTTTGATTTGATTTGAAAAACAAACTTTGTAAAACAAAATTTCCATCCAACCTCTTTATTAACACATTTTCTTTTGTTTTTGTGTTTGTTTTGACCGAAAAACCAAACCAAAACAAATTCTTACGGATCTCAAATTTTTGTTTTGTTTTTGTTTGTTTGTGTGTGTGGGTGATAGTCATCGATCGATGACAAGTGCGTGTTTTTAACATCGTTAGTTGATGATAGTTTAATTGAAACAACAACAAACAAGAAACAAGATAAAAAAAAATGTCAAACATTGTGACAAGTGATTCAAAAGCACCTGTACGTGAAGTACGTCGTGTACAATTTGGTATATTATCACCGGATGAAATACGACGAATGTCAGTTACTGAAGGTGGTATACAATTTGCTGAAATCTATGAAAATGGACGACCAAAAATTGGTGGTCTTATGGATCCACGACAAGGTGTTGTTGATCGGTAAGTTGTTGTTTGGTTTGAGAGATAATTTTCCAAAATGAAATTTTTATTGGATTTTTTTTTTGTTTTCCAAACAGAACATCAAGATGTCAAACTTGTGCTGGTAATATGGTCGAATGTCCGGGACATTTCGGTCATTTAGAATTATCCAAACCAGTATTTCATATTGGTTTTTTAAATAAAACAATAAAAATATTACGTTGTGTTTGTTTTTATTGTTCAAAAATGTTAATATCACCAACAAATTCAAAAATTAAGGAAATTGTTGCCGAAACAAAAGGAAATCCACGTAAACGTTTAGCACATGTTTATGATCTTTGTAAAGGAAAAAATATCTGTGTAGGGATGGATGATAAAGATTTGGATAAAGAAAATAATAATAATGATTATAATAATGATAATAATAATGAACAATTATCATTGAAAAAAAAGATAAATACACATGGTGGTTGTGGTCGTTATCAACCACAAATTAAACGTGAAGGTCTTGATCTTTATGCTGAATGGAAACATTTGAATGAAGATTCACATGAGAAAAAAATTGCTCTGACTGCTGAACGTGTACATCAAATTTTTAAAGATATGTCGGATGAAGAAATAACAATACTTGGTATGGATCCAAAATATGCCCGGCCAAGTTGGATGTTAGTAACGGTATTACCTGTACCACCATTATGTGTACGACCTGCAGTTGTTATGTTTGGTTCGGCACGTAATCAAGATGATTTAACACATAAATTAGCCGATATTGTTAAAACAAATAATGAATTAATAAAAAATGAACAAAATGGTGCTGCAACACATATTATTGCCGAAAATGTTAAAATGTTACAATTTCATGTAGCAACATTTGTTGATAATGAAATACCGGGTATACCACGTGCACAACAAAAATCCGGTCGCCCATTAAAATCAATCAAACAACGTTTGAAAGCAAAAGAAGGTAGAATTCGTGGTAATCTTATGGGTAAACGTGTTGATTTTTCTGCTCGAACTGTTATTACACCGGATCCAAATCTTCGTATCGATGAAGTTGGTGTTCCACGTTCAATTGCACAGAATCTAACATTTCCGGAAATTGTTACACCATTCAATATTGGTTAGTTTTTTTTTTATTTTGATTGATTTTTTTTTGTCATTAATTTTGATGAAATTGTTTTTCTTTCAATCAGATCAACTTAAAGAACTTGTTTGTAAAGGTAATAATCAATATCCGGGTGCAAAATATATTATACGTGATAATGGTGAACGTATTGATCTACGATTTCATCCACGGCCATCCGATTTACATTTAGAATTTGGTTATAAAGTTGAACGTCATATTCGTAATGGTGATGTTATTGTATTTAATCGACAACCAACATTACATAAAATGAGTATGATGGGTCATAAAATTCGTGTATTACCATGGTCAACATTTCGTTTTAATTTATCTGTAACAACACCATATAATGCTGATTTTGATGGTGATGAAATGAATTTGCATGTACCACAATCATTAGAAACACGTGCCGAAATTGAACAATTAGCTATGGTACCAAGAAATATTATAACACCACAATCAAATAAACCTGTTATGGGTATTGTACAGGATACATTAACTGCTGTACGTAAAATGACTAAACGTGATGTATTCTTAACACAAGATCAAATGATGAATTTATTAATGTTTTTACCAACATGGGATGGTAAAATACCAATGCCTTGTATATTGAAACCAATACCATTATGGACTGGTAAACAATTATTTTCATTAATTATACCGGGTCATGTTTCATTAATACGTAATCATTCAACACATCCGGATGATGAAGATGAAGGTCCATATAAATGGATATCACCAGGTGATACAAAAGTTTTAATTGAAAATGGTGAACTATTATCTGGAATTGTTTGTGCAAAAACTGTTGGTAAATCAGCTGGAAATTTAATGCATGTTGTATTTCAAGAAATGGGACATGAAATTTGTGGTCTATTTTATTGGCATATACAAACAGTTATTAATAATTGGCTGCTATATGAAGGTCATTCAATTGGTATTGGTGATACATTTGCCGATCCACAAACATATCATGATATACAGGAAACAATTAAAAAAGCTAAACAAGATGTAATTGAAGTTATTGAAAAAGCACATAATGATGAATTAGAACCAACACCTGGTAATACATTACGACAAACATTTGAAAATCAAGTCAATCGTATTCTAAATGATGCACGTGATAAAACTGGTGCATCAGCACAAAAATCACTTTCAGAATTTAATAATTTCAAGGCTATGGTAGTTGCCGGATCAAAAGGATCGAAAATTAATATATCACAAGTTATTGCCTGTGTTGGTCAACAAAATGTTGAAGGCAAACGTATACCGTTTGGTTTTCGTAAACGTACATTACCACATTTTATTAAAGATGATTATGGTCCTGAATCACGTGGTTTTGTTGAAAATTCTTATCTGGCCGGTTTAACACCATCAGAATTTTTCTTTCATTCTATGGGTGGTCGTGAAGGTAATTTTTTTTTTTGTTTTCTTTCAATCAATTTCAAATTTACAAATTTTAATTATTTTTTTAGGTTTAATTGATACGGCTGTAAAAACTGCCGAAACTGGTTACATTCAACGACGATTAATTAAGGCTATGGAATCTGTAATGGTTACATATGATGCAACTGTTCGTAATTCAAATGGTCAAGTTATTCAATTACGTTATGGTGAAGATGGTTTAGATGGTGGTCATGTTGAATTTCAAAATCTACCAACATTAAAACCAAATGATCGTCAATTTCGTGAACGTTTTCGTTTTGATGCATCGAATGAAAAATATTTACGAAAAATTTTCAGTGAAGATGTTGTTAAAGAATTATTGGGCAATCCACGTTCATTATCTGAATTGGAACAGGAATTTGAACGTTTACAAAAAGATCGTGATACATTACGTGGATTATTTCCAACTGGTGATTCAAAAGTAGTTTTACCTTGTAATATAAATCGTATGATTTGGAATGCACAGAAAATTTTTCACGTTAATAAACGTATTGCTACGGATCTATCACCATTAAAAGTATTGACTGGTGTTGAAAATTTGGTCAATAAATTAACAATTGTACCCGGTGAAGATCCATTATCGATAAAAGCCAATCAAAATGCTACACTTTTATTTCGTTGTTTATTACGATCAACATTATGTACGAAAAAAATAACCGAACAAGATCGATTAAGTTCAGAAGCATTTGATTGGTTATTAGGTGAAATTGATTCAAAATTTCATCAAGCACAAGTACAACCAGGTGAAATGGTCGGTGCATTGGCTGCACAATCATTAGGTGAACCAGCCACACAGATGACATTGAATACTTTTCATTATGCTGGTGTATCGGCTAAAAATGTAACATTAGGTGTACCACGTTTGAAAGAAATTATTAATATATCAAAAAAACCAAAAACACCATCATTAACTGTATTTTTAACTGGTGCAGCTGCACGTGATGCTGAAAAAGCTAAAGATGTATTATGTCGATTAGAACATACAACATTAAGAAAAGTGACAGCTAATACGGCAATTTTTTATGATCCAGATCCATTGAATACTGTTATACATGAAGATCAAGAATTTGTTAATGTTTATTATGAAATGCCTGATTTTGATACAGCACGTATATCACCATGGTTATTACGTATCGAATTAGATCGTAAACGTATGACAGATAAAAAATTAACAATGGAACAGATTGCCGAAAAAATTAATGCCGGTTTTGGTGAAGATTTAAATTGTATTTTCAATGATGATAATGCTGAAAAATTAGTACTACGTATACGAATAATGAATCCGGAGGAAAAATCATCAGTTGAAGAAGAAGAACAAATTGATAAAATGGAAGATGATGTATTTTTACGTTGTATTGAATCATCATTATTAAGTGATATAACATTACAAGGTATTGAACAGATTTCAAAAGTTTATATGCATCTACCTACAACCGATAATAAAAAACGAATCATTATAACTGAAACGGGTGATTATAAATCAATTGCTGAATGGCTTCTTGAAACTGATGGTACATGTTTAATGCGTGTATTGGCCGAACGTGATGTTGATCCAGCTCGTACATATTCGAATGATATTTGTGAAATATTCTCTACATTAGGTATTGAAGCCGTACGAAAAGCAGTGGAAAAAGAAATGAATCATGTTATATCATTTGATGGTTCATATGTCAATTATCGTCATTTAGCTTTACTTTGTGATGTAATGACAGCTAAAGGACATTTAATGGCTATAACACGTCATGGTATTAATAGACAAGATGTTGGTGCATTAATGCGTTGTTCATTTGAAGAAACAGTTGATGTATTGATTGATGCTGCAATGCATGCTGAAGTTGATTATCTTAAAGGTGTATCGGAAAATATTATTGTCGGTCAATTGGCTAAAATTGGTACCGGTTCATTTGGTTTATTATTGGATCCGGAAAAATGTAAACTTGGTATTGAAATACCAACAAATTTACATGGACTTGGTATGTTTGTTTTTTCTAAAATGTTTGTTTTATTTTCATATTATTAATGATGTTTTGTGTATTTTCATTATTAGGAACTGGTCTATTTTATGGTATGGATTCACCATCGATGGCTGGATCAGGAATGTCACCTCAAATGACACCGTATGGTGTTTCAACACCAGCATATGCTTTACCATGGGCTTCAGGTGGAAGTGGTGTCGGTGTTTCTCTTGGTATGACACCGGCGGCAGCAGGTTTTTCACCATCAGCTGCATCCGATGCTGGATTTTCACCCGGATATTCACCAAGTTGGAGCCCTGGCGGTCTTGGTAGTCCTGGATCACCATCAAGTCCATATCTTCCATCACCAAGTGGTCCATTATCACCATCTTATTCACCGGCATCACCAAATTATATGCCGATGTCACCGCATATTGGTGTAGCTAGCCCATCATATTCACCAACATCTCCTTCCTATTCACCTACTTCACCTTCGTATTCGCCAACATCGCCGTCATATAGTCCAACATCACCATCATATTCACCTACTTCGCCTAAATATTCACCAACATCACCAAATTATTCGCCATCATCTCCTTCCTATTCACCTACTAGTCCATCTTATTCACCTACTTCACCTTCATATTCTCCATCGCCTTCGTATAGTCCAACATCGCCTTCGTACAGTCCATCATCACCAAATTATTCACCATCATCGCCTTCGTATAGCCCATCTTCACCATCATATAGTCCATCGTATACATCACCGTATGGCAGTTCTTCACCATCATATGCACCGTCTTCACCGAAATATTCACCTGGTGCCGCATCCAGTAGTTATTCACCATCATCGCCATCATATCAGCCATCATTTTCTCCGCGATATTCATCATTATCGCCTAAATATTCTCCTTCGTCGCCATCTTATTCACCATCATCACCGCAACCGTATTCACCGGGTGCAAGTAGTGGATATTCACCATCTTCACCACCATATGGTCGTTCTGGTCCAGATAGTGGAGTTGGTGGTACAGGTTCATCATCCGTTTATTCACCAACATCACCTACTTATTCAGGTGTCGGTAGTGGTCGTCCTTCTGGACCAGGTGGTACTAGTACAGGATATTCACCAACTAGTCCAACAAGAAATTATTCACCAACATCGCCAACCTATTCACCACATGAATCTAGTTATTCACCAACATCACCAACATCTTATTCGCCAACATCACCATCCACTTATTCTCCAACATCACCAAATTATGACGAATAATAATTTTTCCAGAATGTTTTTTTGTTTGTTTGTTTTTGAATGGTTTTTAAATGAGCATTTTTTTCATATATAATCATTTGTAAGAATGATAATCTTGAATGAATTTATTCTTCTATCAAAAATCAAATTTATAATAATTTTGAATATTATAGCAAAAAAGAAAAAAATATAAATTTTTTCTCCATTATAAGCAATCATGATTTTTTTTCTCTTTATTCATTTTTTTTTTGTCAACTAATTTACATCTAAAATACATAATATGCTAATAACGACACACAAACAAACATAAAAATATATAAGAATTTCTCTTTTTTCGAAATTTTTCTAATTAATTATTTTTTTTTGTCTTGAAAATTTTAATTTATAATCAATAATAATAATAATGGATGGATGAATAAAATTCTTATTTTTCTGATTCATTCAACAAGTTGATATTCAGGGGGGAGAAAAGGATGTAATTCGACAAAACAAAAATTTTCCAGGAAATTATTATCATTTTTGTTTTAAATGAATTTTGTCGTCTTTGATATATAATTTTATCATCGAAATTGACAAAATTGTTTTTTGTTTTTCAAATGTGAACCATAAATGAATGAATGTGGGAAACCAAATCGATAACGATAAAAACAAATTGAATGTTTGACGGTCATTTGATTAGGTGGTCGGTCTTCTTTTTTTTAATCCTATAAGATTATTTTTTCATCCAAAAAGGATTCTATGAAATCTAATTTCCTGCTTGAAAGGAGACAATAATAATAATAATAATAATGTCAAACAAAACAACAACAAAAAATCATTGCTATTTTTTTCGTGTATAAATACAATGAAGAATCGCTGAATCAAATATTCATTACAAATCTAACAGATTTTCAAAATTTCAAATCAATCCGATTGAGCAACGAGAAAAAAAACTTGACTGAATTAACAAAATGAATTTCCGTATCATATTTTTGGTAATCGCAATGATCCTATCGATCGCTATGTTTGGTGGTTTGACATCAGCACAACGATATGGCCGTGGACGTGGAGGCTACGGTGGTGGATATGGCCGTGGACGAGGAGGTTATGGTGGCGGTTATGGACGTGGTGGTGGCTATGGAGGTCGTTATGGTCGACGAGGTTGATCTATTCACTCGTAACAAATAACAACATCAACCAGAATCCGAAAAAAAAATGTTTTGATTTGATAATTTTGTTATTTTTTCCCCTGTTAACTCTAAAAAAATTCAAATAAAAATGAGCCAAAAAATTACTTTGTTTAAAAAAAAATTTATTTCAAAAATCAATTCAAAGGGAATTCAAAAGATTAAGATTTCCTTAATCATCATAATCATGATTTATGGATTATTAACATTTATATATCATCACATATCAGATATTAATTCAATGATTGATGGAATGCAATGAGTAACTAACGATGATGAATCAAATTACAAGTTACTAATTTTCAATTAAAAAAAAAAAAAAATTAAAAAAAACAAAATTTTCTGTTTTTTTTTTCAAAAATTATCATCATTATTGATTGATTACCGGATGTCTGTTTATAATGATAATGTTTTTTTTTTGTTTGTAAAAAAAATTATAAACTGATAACCAGATTTTTTTTAAAAATTTTAACCTAGATCATCCTTTTTTATATAAATGCAATAATCAAATTGAAAAAAATTTGTCATTTTGTTAAAATTTCATTGTTGTTTTCATTTTTGGTGTTGTTTTGTATTGATCGTTTGTCTATTTAGAAAAAAAATAATCCATCGCAAAACAATAATGATGAATATTCAAACAATTTCAACAATCTTATTGATTACAATAATTGCAACTATAATAACTAATGTTATGTGTCAAGGTGGTCGTCTTGGTGCAATTAAAGAATTGACTGAAATATCGAAAAAACAAAAAGATCCTATACAAAAATATGGACCTTATGTTCAACCATTAAAACAATTATTAGGTGCCGGTAAAGGTAGAGGTGGTGGTCTTAGTTCAGGTAGTTCATCATCATCATCATCAAATTATAATCGTGGTTCATCATATAATAATAATGATAATGATCGTGATTCATATGGTTCATCATCATCATCATCACGTGATCGTAATTCATATGATCGTGATTCATATGGTTCATCATCATCTTCATATAATTCTGGTTCATCACGTAATCGTAATTCCTATGATAGAGATTCCTATGGATCATCATCGCGTAATCGTAATTCCTATGGATCTGGTTCGGGCTCAGGTTCAAGAGGATATAATAATTACAATGATCGTTATTCATCATCATCACGTGGCGGTCGCAATTCTTATAATGATTTTTAAATATTTTTGTAAAAGTTTTAAATAAAATCATCAATTGATTTGATTTGATTGAAATTTCCGGCTAAAAAAATTTTCCATTTTAGTTTCATTATCTGTTTGAAAACAAATATATTTTTATTATTAAAAAAAACTAGACAGGAAATATTATTATACTTTTGTTGTTGTTGTTTTTTTTGGTTGACAAAATTTCCATATCGACAATTTTTTTTTTGACGCAACATTTTCGAAATGGAAAACAAAACACCAAACGAAAGCAAACTTCATTGATTCGATGATTGAACTTTATCCTGGTCATTGGCAATCCATGTGTATGCGCACGATGTTCATCTGGTTTTCTGGTTGAAATTTCAAGCCAACAAATCACCTGTGTCAACCTGGAAAAAAAATAATGATAATTATTCCATTATTACAATTATTAATAATAACAACATTAATATTATCATCAATGATAATAAAATTATATAATCAACAATTTATAATCATAACCATAATAATAATGATAATAATGTTAAATTATCATTTGATTTTATCGGATGCCAGATATAATCATCATTATCATCATCGTCATCGACAATCACCACGTGATTATTCTATGAAATATGAGCTTCGTTTTTGGCCAGATTATCGTTAAACGAACGTAAAAAAACAATTATCATCCATTCCATTAATCATCACCATAATCATCATCATCAATAAATGTACAAATCTAAAAACAAAACCAAAACAAACAACAACAAAAAATCATAACAGGAAAAAAAGAAAATCTAATCCAATTTCATGCAATCTTTCTTTCACCATCATCACCGCATTACATAACGCAAGCAGCACAGGTGTCGATGTTTTTTTTTCATTTCTAAATTACGTTTCCTGTATAAATCATTTTTTTATCTTTTTTTAAAGAAAACTATTTTTTGTCACTTGAATTTCATATACACAACGACGAAGACGATGCTTATGATAATCATTTTGAAAACAGACAGACAGACAGAAAATCTGGACAGGTACAGTCGAAATATCGTGACGTTAATATGGATTTAGACGATGGTGGATGATAATGATCAACCAATTAAAGGATCGCAATGTAAACTAAACTAAACTAAATTATTTTCTTCATTTTAAAATTGCATCAACAAATCACTAAACTTTTATGATAAAATAAATGTCGTTCGTGATATTATCATCACCATCATCATCGTTATAAAAATTATCCATTGATATGGATGATATGTAATGAAACTATATTTTGATCATTTGTTGTTGTTGTTTTCCTTAATGACTATTTTCGATGATGATGATGTTTGATGTTAAATTAATCTTAAATTAAAAAAATTATAAATATAAAAAAAATCTTATTCAATATTACTCAATGGATATTGTTTGTTTGTTTATCAATTTAACTTACTTGAAATGACAAAATGTACTGGTAATGGAGGTGGTGGTTAATGGGGATGAAAGAAGAAAATTCCTTCACTTTTACAAAAAAAAATCATATGCTTGGTGATGATCAAAGAAAAAGTTCAAGGAATTTCTGTTCTTTTGGCTCATCTCATTGATAAAATTGGATTTCACAAAAAATGATTGTGAAATATCAGTATCATCGTTATTAGCGGTGGTGGTGGATAAGCCACCAATGATGGATGATCCATTTTGTTTTTTTTCGCTGAAAGAAAAAACAAAAAACGAATGAATTTAATGGATTGATAATCTCTCGCCGTTTAAAGAAAATCATTTTTTGTTAAAAGAAAACACATAGATTATGTGTCAATTTTTTGTTGTTTACATTTGTCTGCAACAACAAATTGATGTTGAACATTTTCTTTTTTTTTTGCTTTTTTCAAGATTGAAATCTACTAAAAAGTAAATTTCATTTTCGTTGTTAAAATCAACAAAAATGTCAACACACGAATAAACATGAACGAAAAAAAATAAAAAATTAACCATAACGGTCAAAAGCATCTTCATAGAATTCATTCATTCAATCAATGATAATCATCCCATTCTAATTGATGACTGAAAAAATGAAAAAATTTTCTGAGCATCATTAATTTGAAAATTGTCCATCATTAAGATATCATCTTTGCTGTTTCTTCTTTAAAATTTATAATCAACACTTATATTGTTGATAGGGATGATTAGTATAGAGCTAATCTGGTTACCACTTGTGTGCGCGTTTGACCTATTCATATTTTATCATCATTAAAACAAAAGTAAAATCACGAAATGTCTGGGGCTATAATAATGACGATGATGATGATAGGTGAAATTTGATGAGTTTTTCTTCGTTTTCAATTGAGGTGACACACACACACACACGCGACACACAGACGAAATTTTAATTTGTTAATTAATTTAATACGGATGATCATCATTATCAGTTGATGTCACCATCCATCTTAGACAAGACGAAATAATAATGATGATAATGTTGTTTAGCATCCACATTATTATTATTGTTGGTTGATCCGAATAAGAACAAGTATCTTGATTGATTTTAATAAAAGTAGATTATTATTATTCACAATTAGAGATGATGGTACTACTGGTGGTGAAAGCAGTTATTTTTTTCCTGTTTTCCATTGAAATTTTCATTTTTCTTTTCGTTTTTTTCATAATCTGTTTTTTGATCTGCTGCTGCTCTGGATCCAGGATTTCAATTATCTTCTTTGTCGTCTTCATCGTTTTATCTAAACCCTTTGGTTGTTGTCTTTTTTTCTTAGTTTTCCCAATAACATTACTAGTTGTTTTTTTCAATTTTTTTGATAAACTAATTCTCATCGATGTTTTCGTTAATGGTGATGACGATGATGATCGTCGAGATGATAATGGTGATGATTTCATCTTTAATTTCCTATTTTTCTTCACTCTATTTTTTCTATTCAATTTTTTACCACCATCACCAAGTGAATTTGAAATTATTTTTGTCAACGATTTTATTGATGATAATGTTGTTAATGGATGATGATTAATTTTTCGAAAATTTTTCCTGATTTTTGAAATATTTTTTTTCAATGAAAACTGCTTTACCGATAATAATGATGAAGATTTTGATAATTTTTCATTTTCAATCGGTCGTCGTTTTGTTGCTTTTAATTTTCTTAATTTTTTAATTTTCATTTTTTTCGTCTGAATAATAATTTTATCATCATCATTATTATCATTAATTTTCGATTTCATTGTTTCAATCGATTTAATTGGAATCGATATTTTTGATTGTTTTTTATTAATTCTTCTACGATGACTGCTACTACTAGTATCAATTATTGTATCCAATTTACGTCTACGAAGATTATATTCTCGTATTGTCTTTGTTGTGGTTTTTTGTTGTTCGAGTTTTTCATCCACATTATCAATACTTTTCCTTATAATCTTTTTGTTTGATAGTTTTTCAATAATCAGGATTTTTCCTTTTTCATTTTCCTCACAATCCTTATCCTTATGATAATCATCATCATCATCTGTTTCATTATCATTATTTTCATCATTACCGCCGGTATATTCATTGTTTGGATGATGATGTTGTTGTTGTTGCTGTTGTGGTTCATAATCATTAAACAATTCAACTAATTGATCAACATAAGTGACATAATCGGCTACAGGTGTTTTCGATTGAAACAATTGCCGTATTAATCCAGTGTAAATAGAAAATTGTTTTCGAGGTTTGTGGTGGCCAACATCATTATCATCAATTAAATGTTTATCCAACTGTAACAATCGATTACCGTTTTTTTGATCCTGTTGTTGTTGCTGTTGTTGATCACATACATTATCATGATCATTGTTGTCGTCATTTCGATTATCATGTGACAATCGATCATAATTATTTATTGATGATGTTGATGTTGTTTTGACTTGAATTAGATTCGGTTGTTGACACGTCAATTGCTCATTTTCATCAACATTGGCATCAACAACAATATCATCGGTGGTTTCGGATGAGGAAATGATCGATGAATGAAAAGAAGTATCAGTGGAAATAGATAAAGAACTTGACGATGATGATAAAGATTTAGTATCCACTTTATCGATTTTATCCTGTTGAAATGTTAATTCATTCGATAACATTTCGGCCAAATCAATACTTTTCGATCTTATTCGATCAAATTCTTTTTGTTGTTGCTCGATTTCAGAATTTTCAGATTCTAAATTCGTATCAACATTACCTTCCTCATCGGACAATCGCTGTTGTTCTTCATTTTGTTTACCATCATCATTACCATTATCATCTTGGATCAATGGATTATTTTCCTCAATTTTTCCTGTTTGTTGTTGCTGCGGATTTAATTCCTCTATTTCCATTACAACATCATTATCATTCGATGGATGTGGTTCAATTTCAACATGTTCAATTTGAAAACGAAAACCACTACTCATACGACGACATTTTTTTTGATTCGATTCTATAACTACATCTTGGGTTGTTATAGGTGACATTTGACAATCATCAACATTATCATTATCAATGTTGATCAAATTTGATGTTGGATTTTTTGCTGCCATGATTGTTGTTGTTGGATCGTTATTATCACCGTTATCATTATCACCATCAATAATATCATTATTATTATTATCATGTTTTTCGTGATGTTGATTTTCATCATCATCATCATCAATTGTCACCATCGATGTTGATAATGGTGTTGATGACTTTATTATTCGTTGTTGTTGTTGTTGTTTATCATTATCATCATCATTATCGCTAACATTATTGATTTGAATTTCGAAATTACCATCATCAGTTTTATGTGCCTTTTCGTAGAATTTTGCATCGATCAATCAGAAAAAAAATAGAAAATTGATACATTGATTATTTTTGGTGTGAAAAAAAACATTAAAAATTTTCTTCAAAATATACATACCTTTATAATAATTTCACGTTGTTGTTGCTGTTGTGGATTATGTTTTCCCAAACCTAAAAACAGTCCTGTTTGATCCATTATTCGAATTTGCTGTTGTTGTTTGAATTTTGTTTCAGGATCATTGTTATCGTTATCATCATGTGATAATGTCATTAAATTTTTTCGTTCGTGATCAATTTTTGTTGTCGCTGTTGTTGTTGATGATGATGTTAAATTGAAATTCAATGTTAACAATGACATCGGTAATACTTTATTATTATTATTATTACATTTTTTCTTTGGTGTTTCAATATCTAAATATTCAATAGGATATCTTCTATTGATTCGATTTTGTTGATTATTTTCATTTGTAACAGCAGCAGTTGTTTGATGATTTGATTGTGAAATTGGTGTCCATACAATCGATGATGGTGTTGTCATTCGAATCGAAATCGATGGTATCGATTCTGTATAAAAACGATGTTCATTCATCATCGACATTGTTTTGGGATCAATCATTAATGATGATTGTTCTTGTTGTTGTTCCAAATATTGTCCTTCATTATCATCATCATTTTGTTGTTCTTGAACTTGTTCGTGATAATGTTTCCATTTATCATCATCATCATCATCATCATTATCATCAACATTATCACTAGAATTCGAATCCATATTCATAGCTTTTGTTATTTGATTGCTACTTGTTGCCATTGAATTTCTATTTAATGATGATAATGTTTTTGGCTGTTTTCGTTGTTGCTGTCGATGTTTTGTATTATTATCATCATCATTATTGTTGTTGTTGTTGTTATTAGTATTGTTGATCGATGTTGCTACTAAATGATTTTTTCGTAATGTTGCAACACGTAATTCATATTTTCGTTGTTGTTGTTGCCGTTGTTTTTTACTAATCAAAGATTTATTGATTGAAATTCTATTTCGATTTGTCAATGATGATAATGACGAAGATATCGATTGTATCGATGATGATTTCAACGATGATGATGATGTTAATTGTTGAATTTCTTGAATTTCGAATATATAATCATGACGTTTAGATTTCGATGTTGTTATTATTTGACGATTTTTCGAACCAAAATCAATTTCACCACCACCAAATGTTAAACGATCTTGATGTCGTAATAATCGATTTTCACCCGAATTTAATAGCTGATCATTTAAAAATGTTGGTTTTCGACAGCTAATCGTTTTTAAAATATTAAATTTTTGTCCATATTGATGATCATTATCATAATCATTGAATGGATTATCATTAGTTTGATGAATTTCAGCATGAATTGTATCAATATTATCCAGATCACGTATACGTAAATTTGCCTGTATACCAGAACCTATTCTTGTTACACGATTAATTAATGGATGAAATGTTACCGATGACGAAGACGATGTGGTTGATGATCCGGGTGGTGGACATTTACGTAATAAATATGAAAAACGATCGACAATTCGTTGTTGTTTAGGTCGATGAACGATTTGATTGGTCGATGTTGGATTCGGCAACATTTTTTTCATTGTAATTTGAAACAAAATTCATGAATTTTTATATGGAACAAAAAACAACAAAAAATTCTAAATTAATTAGATTTTGTTCACTTACTTTTTGTTTTGTTGACAGGCCAGAAAAAACTTGAAAAAAGTTTTTTGATTAAAAAAACTTCAAGACCATAAGATGTGTAAGTGTGTTTGTGGGAAAATTTGATGAAAACCGTGACCATTGATAATAAGGATGGTGATGGTAAACAAATTGAATTTGAATTTGAAAAAGGAAAAAGAAACGAAAATCTTCAGATCAAGATCATGGTAAAATGGATGGAAGAAAAAAATTGAGTTTCGAATCTTTTTTAACATTCGATTTTCACATACACACACACCGACCGTTCATATATGACATTACGTGTTTTTGTTTATGTTTTTGCTGTTCGGACTCGAATTTTTTTTCATCCGGTTTTTTCATTTTTCGAAATAAAAATTTTTCATTAAAATCAAAAATAAAAATCATGTCCAAATCATCAATTTTGACTTTGAAAAATTTCCATTTAATTGGTAATTATTGTTATTATTTGAAAAAAAACGGGAAAATTAAATTTCGATAATCACGTCGATGGTGTTTTGTACATGATCTGTTCAATCTCCTTTTTTTTCTGAAACGTTAAAGACGATAATAATGATGATCATGATTAAAAAACGAAGGTAAAAGTTGAAAATCAACAACAACAACAACAACAAAAACTAAGTTAAAAGGAAATTTTATTTTTATTTTTTTCATTTTTTCGGATACAGGAACCACCACAGTGATGAACGAATTAAAAAAAACCTTATGATCGATCGATTGATTATCGATCGAGATCATCGATCGCGTTTTCGATTAAAAATTGCCGCTAATTACATCCGATGTAATTAATTATCGATAATAAAAATAAAAAAATTTCGGAAATTATTCAAATCAAGATCATCATTATTAAAGAAAAAACAGGATCACGAATTGGATCGAAATAGTTTCGAATAGTGTTTTCCTACTATTTCGACACAATCAAATCGAATTGAAATTAATATTCATCAAATGTGGATCAACAAGACGATAATGAACGATAACGAAGAAAAGCAAATTGCATCAAGTGATACCACCATTAACACACGATCAACATTTCGACATCCAAAAAAAAAAATTATGACAAATCACCATTATCATCAGGTAGGTGGTTGTTTTTATTAAATTTAAATTTAATTTAAACAAAATTCAGGAACAAAAACTGATTTCACACTTTTTCCTCATTCATTATCAAACAATTTTTATCTTTTTAAAAAAATTTAAATTCAAAAATACATTCAAAAATTGACCGCTTTTCTCTTTTTCGTTTCCATATTTATCCACATTATAAAAACATTGAAGCTGAAATCGTTAATTAGCTACTAATGGTGATAATGGTATTATCATTGTTTCAATCTAGAGAAAAACAAAAAAAAAACATTCGTGGCCAATGAATGGTAGAAATGGCTTCTAGTAATCGATACTATCGATTATGTAAGAATTTTTGTATCGTTTCGTTACATGTGTGTAATAAATCAATCACAGACATTGACAGAGGCAGACAGGAATTTCAACAAAATTATTGATGCGGTCCAAAACTATCAATTTTTTGTTTGGCGACAAAATAGAAATCCTTTTTTAAAAAAAAAATTGGATGCAAAAATGATGAAATTCATTCGTCATCCAGTTTGTGTGGAGACACTGATTGAATTGAAAAATATGAAATTTTGACATCATTTCACTACACTAATCTAGTTTTAATCATTGAAAGTTTCTACGCTACAAAATAAATAATGAAATCACAATCGGCTTGAATGTTTCAATCAAAGAAAATAATCAATAATTCCACTAATTAGAGGTAATTGATCAAATGAAAATGAAAATTTTTTTGCTTTTGAAATGTGTCATTCTTGTCAATTCTAATGAAACGAAAAAAAAACTAGTTTTGAATCCAAATCAAAAGAAATGTTTGTTTTTTTGTTTTTCAAATTACATAATCATCATCATAGATGAAATTAATCTAGAAAATATTAAATCACAAATTGAAATCGAAATCAATTTCTTTCATTTTTGATGATCATGGTCATGATTCGATGATGATGAATTGAATTGAAATGAAATTTTTCCTCTTGAAAAATAATCAATGAATCACGATCGCGATATAATCGATAGTTTCGATTTCGAATGTTTTTGAATTTCGATAGTTTCGAATGTTCGAATGTTTAATCGTTCTTCTCTTTTTTGTTTTTTTACTTTGTTTTCAATCAAATGAATTTTTTCATTACAAATAGATTTTGGAATTTCAATTTTTTGAATTCAAAAATCTCAGAAAATGACAGATTGATTTTTCAAGATAGATATTCTGATTCTGTCAACTGTCATTGCCGAATGTTTTGTTTGTTTTACAAAAATCTTGAGAAATCTGTGAAAAGTGAAAAACAACAATGATGATGATGATGATTTCCTGACTACAGATGATCATGATCATGATCTGTAGATGATAATAATCGTTGATCTTATCTGATTAGCATTTTCATCGAAAAAAACGATGATAATGATAAACATGGAAAGCGAAAAAGTAAGTAAGTGGTGGTGATGGTGGGGAAAAATATGAACAATTTTTTTCAGTTTTCACTGAGATTTTTTTGCTTGTTTTCAACGGAAAAAAACAAAGATTGAAGAAAAACGTGATGAAAATAAAAACGGCGGATATGTTTTGGTTATCAAACAAAACACACAAGTATCGCGATAGTGAGAGAAAAAGAGTTACACAATTTATGAATGGATGATGATGATCTTGATTTGTCATTTTTATTCAATCAAAACAGGTGTCAAATCAAGATTATACTTTATCCAAGAAGATATCAATTAAACAAAATGATAATAATGATGATGTGAAATTGAAATAATTTTGAATTTTTTTTTTCACCGTTTCAAACAAATTAAAAGTTTTAATTGTTTTGAATGTTGTTTCTCAAAATTCTTCTTCAAATGTTTTTCTGTGGGGGGAGGAAGAATAGACATTTCACACACGCGATCAAACCAGAGATATACAAACAAACAGAAAAAAAAAGGATACAGGTGTCGTTTTAAACAAATGACATACATTACATTATACTTATGTCAGGTGTCGACAATTAATAATGAAAATTGTATGTGCCATGCACCATTCATATAATTGGTATTTGCGGTTTCGAATGTTTTTAAAACGTTCGAATTTTTCAATGTTTTTTATTTGTTTCTTCGATTTTTTCTTCTGATTTTTTTGGGATTTTAAATGTTGCCATTTGATAATTTGTGTTTGATTTTATTTGTTTGCTTTTGAATGATTTTGAATACAGAATGATAATGATGACAATTTCGGTGATAATTGGATGTGACACGATTATGATGATGATTACGATAATTATATAATTAACATTATCATTTTGAACAACAACAACAATAATGATGATAATAACAAAATGACATTCAACTTTGTTTTTATGGTGGGAAAGAGAATTATCCAAAAAATTATTTAATTGACAAAATTTTTGTTTATTGTTATTGTTGACTATTCTAACCATTTTTTGTATGATTAGATTAAAATAGTTTTTCTTTAAATCAAATTACGTTATATGTTGACGCCTCTTGCCTCCCCTCAAAAAATTTCCCCCTTTTTTTCTTTTCTTCCATTGTTTGATGTCAAATCAGTTTTTTTGTCTTCTTTTCTCTGGCCATGATGATGATCATCATCAACATTCACATGATGGTCACGGCCATGGTCAAAATTTTTCCTGATTTCTTTCTTTGTTTGTTTTGTCTATTGATCAAATCGATCGATCCTAGACTGTAAACTAAATCTGAACAAATGAAAAATCTGCTATTCATTCGTTTTCAATGGCAAAAATCCACCGAAAATGACAATTTTGTGGATTTCATTCAAGGAAAAACTGCAAAAATCATCATCATCATCATCCGAACCGGGGTTCCATCAAGTTGATCAGATCAATAGATCCATGATCCATCCTCATTCTCAACGACAGCGATCCAGAAACACATGATGAAAATTTAACACGAGTTACTCTCCTGATGTGGTGTTCTTTATGTAACTCTCTCTTTTTCACTATTTCGACTGACTGATTAATGAGAAGAAGTCAACGAAGAAAAAAAAATCTACTCGTCGTGTTTCATGATTGACTTGTTGTTTGTGGAAACATTGGAGAGAGAAACACGATGATGAAAACTTTCAAAAAAAAAAATGTTTTAAAGAGATTCAAAATGAAGTAAGTTGTGTCTAAATAGTTGTCCTTTTTTTTTTGTTCACAAAATGTATTTGGGATTTTGAAAAATCATCATTATCATCACAAGACATTTTGGATATACTTGATGAAGAAGAAGAAGACGACTATCATCACATCATTTGATTTTTTCAAAAATTTTCAAGTTTTTTTTCAAATTTTTCAACGAAAAAAAAATCCAATACCGTCATTTATGTACGACCAGTTTTCGAATGTTTTTTTTTTGGTCATTTCGAATGTTTTTTGAGTCGGTGTGTGTGGACGGTGTTTCCGTTTATAACAGTGATAATGTGATTTATTGATTCGATTCTCAACAATCATCTTTGGTCATCCAGAATTTCCAACAAAAAATCAATCAATCAATTTTCATCGGATAAAGTTTACCAATCAAAATTCTTCAAATTTGAATCCGAAACATCATCATCATCTTGAATTGACTTTTTGTTTTGTTTTTCATTTTTCGTTGTTGCTCCAAAAATCCGATCGTAAGTAGATCCTTTTTGGTCATTTTTTCACATTGATTTATTCACATTTACGAGTTATCATCTTTTTTCAATCTATGTTTCTTTTTCAGTTGTCGAATTTAAAAATAAATAACGAACGACAACGAACGAACGACGAAAAAAAATCATAACAAACTTGTCGCCTGTGTGTATAAGATAATTTCCGTATATCATGTTTGCTTGCTTGCTTGCTTGTTTTGCTTTCCACCACAATAATAATCCAAATT